GTGTTAGGTTTTGATGGTGGTGGTGGTGGTAGTGGTGTTAGGTTATGATGGTGGTAGTGGTGGTGGTGTTAGGTTATGATGGTGGTGGTGGTGGTGTTAGGTTATGATGGTGATGGTGGTGTTAGTTATGATGGTGGTGGTGGTGTTAGGTTATGATGGTGGTGGTAGTGTTAGGGTTATGATGGTGGTGGTGGTGGTGGTGGTGGTGTTAGGTTATGATGGTGGTGGTGGCGTTAGGTTGTGGTGGTGATGGTGGTGTTAGGTTATGATGGTGGGGGTGGTGTTAGGTTAGTGATGGTGGTGGTGGTGTTGGGTTATGATGGTGGTGGTAGTGTTAGGGTTATGATGGTGGTGGTGGTGGTGGTGGTGTTAAGGGGATGGGTGGTGTGTTGGTTATGGTGGTGATGGTGGTGTTAGGTTGTGATGGTGGTGGTGGTGTTAGGTTATGATGGTGGTGGTAGTGTAGTTATGATGGTGGTGGTGGTGGTGGTGTTGGGTTATGATGGTGGTGGTGGTGGTTGTTGGGGGTTGTGGTGGGTGTTGGTATGTTATGATGGTGGTGGTGGTGTTAGGGTTGGGATGGTGGTGGTGGTGGTGTGTTGGGTTATGATGGTGTGTGTTGGGTTATGATGGTGGGAGTGTTAGGTTATGATGGTGGTGGTGTTAGGTTATATGGGGTGGTGGTGTTAGGTTTGGGATGGTGGTGTGGTGGTGTTAGGTTATGATGGTGGTGGTGGTGGTGGTGTTGGTGATGGTGGTGTGGTGGGGTGTTAGGTTATGATGGTGGTGGTGGTGTTAGGTTATGATGGTGGTGGTGGTGGTGGTGTTAGGTTATGATGGTGGTGGTGGTGTGTTGGGTTTGGTATGGTGGTGGTGGTGGTGTTGTATGATGGTGGTGTATGATGGTGGTGGTGGTGGTGGTGGTGTTAGGTTGGTGATGGTGGTGGTGGTGTTAGGTTGGGATGGTGGTGGTGGGTGGTGGTGGTGGTGTGGTTATGATGGTGGTGGTGGTGGTGGTGGTGTTAGGTTATTGGTGGGTGGTGGTGTGGTTATGATGGTGGTGGTGGTGGTTATGATGGTGGTGGTGGTGGTGGTGTTGTGTTATGATGGTGGTGGTGGTGGTGTTGGTTGGTTAGGGTTATTTGGTGGTGGTGGTGGTGTTAGGTTATGATGGTGGTGGTGGGTGTTAGGTTGGGGATGTGTTGGGTTATGATGGTGGTGGTGGTGGTGGTGTTGGGTTATGATGGTGGTGGTGGTGTTAGGTTATGATGGTGGTGGTGGTGTTAGGTTGGTGATGGTGGTGGTGGTGGTGGTGTTAGGTTATGATGGTGGTGGTGGTGATAGGTTATGATGGTGGTGGTGGTGGTGTTAGGTTATGATGGTGGTGGTGGTGGTGTTGGTTGATGGTGGTGGTGGTTAGGTTGGGATGGGTGGTGGTGTGGATGATGGGTGGTGGTGTTAGGTTATGATGGTGGTGGTGGTGATAGGTTATGATGGTGGTGGTAAGGTGTTGAGGCGATGGTGGGTGGTGTGTTAGGTTATGATGGTGGTGGTGGTGGTGGTTATGAGGGTGATGGTGGTGGTGTTAGGTTATGATGGTGGTGTGTGGTGGTGTTAGGTTATGATGTGGTGGTAGTGTTAGGTTATGATGGTGGTGGTGGTGGTGTTAGGTTTATGGGGTGGTGGTGTTAGGTTATGATGGTGGTGGTGGTGAGGTATGATGGTGGTGGTGGTGGTGTTAGGTTATGATGGTGGTGGTGGTGGTGGTGTTAGGTTATGATGGTGGTGGTGGTGGGTTAGGGTTATGATGGTGGTGGTGGTGGTGTTAGGTTGTGATGGTGGTGGTGGTGGTGTTAGTTATGATGGTGGTGGTGGTGGTGGTGGGTTGGTGATGGTGGTGGTGGTGGTGTTAGTTATGATGGTGGTGGTGGTGGTGGTGGGTGATGGTGGTGGTGGTGGTGGTAGTTATGATGGTGGTGGTGGTGGGGTGGTGTTGGGTTATGATGGTGGTGGTGGTGGTGTTAGGTTATGGTGGTGATGGTGGTGTTAGGTTATGATGGTGGTGGTGGTGTTAGGTTATGATGGTGGTGGTATTAGGTTATGATGGTGTGGTGGTGGTGGTGTTAGGTTGGGTGATGAGTGGTGGTGGTGGTGGTGTTAGGGTTATGATGGTGGTGGTGGTGATGTTATGGTGGTGGTGGTGGTGGTGGTGGGTTATATGGTGGTGGTAGTGTTAGGTTGTGATGGTGGTGGTGGTGGTGGTGTTAGGTTATGATGGTGGTGGTGGTGGTGTTAGGTTATGATGGTGATGGTGGTAGTGTTAGGGTTATGATGGTGGTGGTGGTGTTAGGTTATGATGGTGGTGGTGGTGGTGGTGTTGGGTTATGATGGTGGTGGTGGTGGTGGGTGTTGGGTTATGATGGTGGTGGTGGTGGTGGTGTTGGTTATGATGGTGGTGGTGGTGGTGTTGGGTTATGATGGTGGTGGTGGTGGTGTTAGGTTATGATGGTGGTAGTGGTGGTGGTGTTAGGTTATGATGGTGGTGGGTGGTGGTGTTGGGTTATGATGGTGGTGGTGGTGGTGGTGTTGGGTTATGATGGTGGTGGTAGTGTTAGGTTATGATGGTGGTGGTGGTGGGGTTAGGTTATGATGGTGGTGGTGGTGTTGGGTTATGATGGTGGTGGTAGTGTTAGGTTATGATGGTGGTGGTGGTGGTGATGGTGTTGGGTTATGATGATGGTGGTGGTGGTGGTGTTAGGTTATGATGGTGGTGGTGGTGGTGGTGTTGGGTTATGATGGTGGTGGTGGTGTTGGGTTATGATGGTGGTGGTGGTGGTGGTGTTGGGTTGTGATGGTGGTGGTGGTGTTGGGTTATGATGGTGGTGGTGGTAGTGTTGGGTTATGATGGTGGTGGTGGTGGTGTTGGGTTATGATGGTGGTGGTGGTGGCGGTGTTGGGTTATGAGTGGTGGTGTGTGTTGGGTTATGATGGGTGGTGGTGGTGGTGGTGGTGTTAGGTTATGATGGTGGTGGTGGTGGTGGTGTTAGGTTATGATGGTGGTGGTGGTGGTGGTGTGTTGGGTTATGATGGTGGTGGTGGTGATGGGTTATGATGGTGGTGGTGGTGGTGTTGGGTTATGATGGTGGTGGTGGTGGTGTTAGGTTATGATGGTGGTGGTGGTGGTGTTGGTGTTGGGTTGATGGTGGTGGTGGTGTTGGGTTATGATGGTGGTGGTGGTGGTGGTGTTGGGTTATGATGGTGGTGGTGGTGATGGTTGTGATGGTGGTGGTGGTGGTGTTGGGTTATGATGGTGGTGGTGGTGGTGAGGTTATGATGGTGGTGGTGGTGGTGGTGTTAGGTTATGATGGTGGTGGTGGTGTTGGGTTATGATGGTGGTGGTGGTGGTGTTGGGTTATGATGGTGGTGGTGGTGATGGGTTATGATGGTGGTGGTGAGGTGGTGTTGGGTTATGATGGTGGTGGTGGTGGTGTTGGGTTATGATGTGGTGGTGGTGGTGGTGTTGGGTTATGATGGTGGTGGTGGTGGTGTTGGGTTATGATGGTGGTGGTGGTGGTGGTGGTGTTAGGTTATGATGGTGGTGGTGGTGGTGTTGGGTTATGATGGTGGGTGGTGGTGGTGATGGGTTATGATGGTGGTGGTGGTGGTGTTGGGTTATGATGGTGGTGGTGGTGGTGTTGGGTTATGATGGTGGTGGTGGTGTTGGGTTATGATGGTGGTGGTGGTGGTGTTAGGTTATGATGGTGGTGGTGTTGATGGGTTGTGATGGTGGTGGTGGTGGGGTGTTGGGTTATGATGGTGGTGGTGGTGGTGTTGGGTTATGATGGTGGTGGTGGTGGTGTTAGGTTATGATGGTGGTGGTGGTGGTGTTGGGTTATGATGGTGGTGGTGGTGGTGGTGTTGGGTTATGATGGTGGTGGTGGTGGTGGTGATGGGTTATGATGGTGGTGGTGGTGGTTTGTTGGGGTTATAGTGGTGGCGGTGGTGTTGGGTTATGATGGTGTGGTGGTGGTGGTGGTTGTTGGGTTATGATGGTGGTGGTGGTGGTGTTAGGTTATGATGGTGGTGGTGGTGTTGGGTTATGATGGGTGATGGTGGTGGTGGTGGTGTTGGGTTATGATGTGGTGGTGGTGGTGGTTTTGGGTTATGATGGTGGTGGTGGTGTTAGGTTATGATGGTGATGGTGGTGGTGGTGGTTGTTAGGTTATGATGGTGGTGGTGGTGGTTGTTGGGTTATGATGGTGGCGGTGGTGTTAGGTTATGGTGGTTGTGGTGGTGGTGGTAGGTTATGGTGGTGGTGGTGGTGGTGATGGGTTATGATGGTGGTGGTGGTGTTAGGTTATGGTGGTGGTGGTGGTGGTGTTAGGTTATGATGGTGGTGGTGGTGGTGGTGTTAGGTTATGGTGGTGGTGGTGTGGTTTGATGGTGGTGGTGGTGATGGGTTATGATGGTGGTGGTGGTGGTGTTAGGTTATGATGGTGGTGGTGGTGGTGGTGGAGTTACGTCATTATGTCGAAAAGAATGATGAGTTTTCTTTATTTTCTCTATTTTGTGAGATTTATTAAATTATTTTTATTTACTGTGTAAGTGCCATCCATCCGTCACGCTGGGTGCTGTCATTCTGCCTAAGCTGACCACCAGACTCCCCTGAGACTAACCGTAAAGGCCATACATGAGGGACAGGAGGAGAGTACAGTAGTTTATATGCGCATCAGGGACTTCTTTTTTTTTATTGTTTTTATTCATACAACCTCACCAAGTTCATGAAGGTATAAAACGCTAAAAAATAAGTTATCCTCTGGTTACAGCTGTACTTTTTTGTTTTGACACGGAAGACGGAATGTAATTTTTTGTCACGTGATTTTCATTTTCAGTTGTTTTGGTTTTTGATCATTCTCTCCAGGCAGTGGTGGAGGTCGTCAAGCTATAACCGTGAACATAGCACCACACTCCTATACTGATGTTATTCCTTTACCATACAGGTGGAGGCGATAGACCCGGACACAGTGGATTCGTCAGGTCTCGTGTATAGTGTTGGGGGCGATGGTGTGGACGGTCACTCCCCCGCCCACGCCTACTTCACCATTAACCCTCACACCGGTCATCTCCTGCAGCTAAGGGTGAGTCTTAACTATCCTTCCCCCTGTACTGTCCACCCCCTTGTTCTTCCGCCTGACCTCCCCACTATAGTACTGCCTGACCTCCCTACTATAGTACTGCCTGACGCCTCCCCACTATAGTACTGCTGACCTCCCCACTATAGTACTGCCTGACCTCCCCACTATAGTACTGCCTGACCTCCCCACTATAGTACTGCCTGACCTCCCACTATAGTACTGCCTGAACTCCCCACTATAGTACTGCCTGAACTCCCCACTATATGTACTGCCACCTCCCTACTATAGTACTGCCTGACCTCCCTACTATAGTACTGCTTGCCTCCTACTATAGTGCTGCCTGACCTCCCTACTATAGTACTGCTCTACCTCCCTACTATAGTACTGCTGACCTCCCACTATAGTACTGCACCGATCTCCCTATAGTACTGCCTGACCTCCCCACTGCCTCTCCCACTATAAATGCTACCTCCCACTGACCTCCCCTGTAACTATGGGTCAGTATTACAAACATTTTGAAGAAATATACAATAAACGATTCATGTATTAAGAAGTTTAACAAAATGTTGACCGTTTTTCGTCATTCATAGTTCTCCGTGTAAACAAAATAAAAATAGTAAAATATATCAATAGTTGAATCAGTGAATTGAACACTTTAATGATCTATGACCTTCAATAATGAGACTACACAGATTTTATGTACTTAAGGTGTCGGTTAATACACATGGTCTCGAAAATAATTTGCTATTATTTTCTGGCTCATATATTTTCAAAATCCACACAAGAAGTTTGCAAAATTCTGGAAGTCTTCGGCACATGTACGGGTGTGTGCCGGAGTCTCTTTGTGCTGTATAAAAACGTCTGGAGTCACCCAAATAATTTATTAAAAGTGGCGTCTCGGAGTGAAAAGGTTAACGCCTCTTGGTAATTTATAGCGTGAATTCTTTTAATATCGAGCAATCTACAATTTATTCGATTTCTGTAGATAACCATAGTGTTTTTATGATCAGCAAAATGGAGAGCCAAGATGTGTGGCTGCTGCCTGTGCTTCTGCCTCACCACATAAATCAACTCGCGCGCATCAGTCATCCAGCTCATCATACTTCTTTTCATAAACCCTATACCACCAAAAGTCCTATGGCGACAGGCGAGTGGCGACGGGGACACGTAAATGACTGCCGGGAGTCTCTAGTCACAACTTTGCACATAGACGGCATAGATAAGATGGTCGTTTATTCACTGGGATCTAGGCAGGAGTGCAATCTGGTCCTGTCTGAGCGACTAAGCAGCCTTTTCAGGAGCCACCCTGCTCACCTTCCGTGGTCATTAGTGTGTGGCAGCGTCCAGGTGGCACTCGCGGGACCTACAACAAGTGGCGACGAACTGGCAATAACCCTCGCCTGGTCGTCAACTCCTTTTATCGAGAGTATTCTGCAGTTTGTATAGTAATAAAATTTCGTCCCGATTTCCGGCCTGGTGAGTGGAATGGGAAACACAGATGAGCTTTTCACCAATATTTCATAACCGCTGACTCAATCCTTATGATGGTACCGTGGTCAGTACCGAGGGAAAGATGTGATTTTCTCCTGATGGTGAACGTGATGTTATGATTTTTGTGGGTGAGGATGGAATGTCTCAGTTTGAGTCATAACACTGTCACCATTTTTGTGGACGTTGTATCGGATGTTCCTAGTCCCCTGGTTAACAAACTAGCACCATCTTTTTAAGTCTAGATGGTGGAAAGGTGAAGTTTTGTTTCTGTCTGGGAATAGACGGGTATTTTTTATGTTCGGTGATATACGGAATTCTTCAAATTTTGTTAACTGTTGGCTTTCAATTTCTGCCGTGATGAATAATTGGAAATCCATGTAGAACTAACAGTGAATCTTTCTTCTGTATGAGAAGGTGTTGCGCCTCTGGAAAATAATGAGTCAATCACCAATCAGTGTGGAGGATTGGGTCCGTTCTGATGCTCTCCATGAATAGTCAATCATTTCAATTTACCATCCTGTTGCTGGCCGTGGACACAAGATACATTGGTAACTGGTAACTGTGTTTTCGTCAACAACAACAACACACAGAATTCTGCTTATATATATATATATATATATATATATATATATATATATATATATATATATATATATATATATATTCAGAAATTCAATGTAATTTCAAACGCCGCGCCTTGGGTGATGCCGAGTTCAAGGTCGTCTGAGGGAAGACCGCGCTCTCGCACGTAGCGAGAGTTTGTGGAACTAGGCCTATATGATATTAAATGTAATTTGTCGAATTAATAATGATGCTATTCATGAAGTAAGGGACTATTATTGAATTTGAAATTATTATAGACCGTTTATCAGTCTGAGTAATGTTATGGGTGTCCCAAGAAAGTTATTAGTTAGGCGGAAAATATGTCACGTAGGCCTGTGGGGTACGGGTTGTTTGGTTCACACTCAGGATGGGATGGAGAAAGGAAACTCACAATGTGCTCTCTGTATACATGTTGTATTAGATGTACAATGCAGCTTGATGCTGGGAAGTGGCAGCGTGGTTACAAGCGTGATGTAGAGAGAGCTGGTTGGTGAGGATGCTCAGAGGAGGACAGCTTGTGGGTCGCCATGCTCGCCGGCGGGAGCGAGGACCGCCAGGCAGGAGGAGGAGGAGGTGTTGCTTGCTGGTTGGTGTAGGTAGAAAGAGACAGGTCACCACGAGGTCAGGTCTTATATAGCGGAGGTAGGCGTGGCTGGTTGACCTAGATCACGAGGCATACACTGGGGAATTCGCTGGGTCAGCTACTCAGCGACAAACAGCGTTTGTAGGGGAGAAATCCACTACAGGCCTAAGCTAACGCCTTGAGAGGACACGAGGCTGGCTGTTTCTCAGTCACGAGAAAGCGATCGGACAGACAGGATGTCCCTGCTCGTCCGTCCACAAACGGTCACGTGTTCTAGTCACCTGTGTTGCGCTATTGCAGTATAACAAGTAAGTCTCATTCGATCTCAGACGGGGTTTAGATAGGGCAGTGATAAAGTTATTAAGAGCTAACAGTGAGTTAATTTCAGGGTTTCCGTCAGAACCCACTTGACTGCGAGAGATTGACTGCCGTTGATGATTGATGATTGTCGCCGTTGGAACGATCAGTGTAGGCTTGTCACTGGTTAGCTGGGTAGAGAAGGATCTCTTGAGTGAACGAGTGCTCCCGACATCTGGAACCAGCATGAGCATTGGGTGATCAGTTCTTACCACGTGGTTGCACAACACCACGTGTCCTCGGTCAGATAGAAGTATTACCAACTGGCCATAGTCACCTGTTCGCGTTCACTCTTCCGCCATGGACGCACTGAGGTACACTGAGGCTATCTGAGTAAATTAATAGTCACACATGAGACCAGGTCTAGGGGATACCTAGAAACATTTTATTTCCCTTATTACGGGTGTATGTTGAGTGGGGTGGAGCATGGTTCACGGTATTGGTGGACCCAGTAACATCTCAGTAATAATGCCAATATTTTTTGTGTATGAATTAGTACCATTTTTCAGTTACTGATATTATCTTGACGTGTGTAGTAATAGTTCTTAAATGATTTTGATAGTGTTTTTTAATGTTTGTGTTCCTAAGTGGAACCAGAGTGAGACTGTGATTTAATTCCTTTAATGCATGTAATTTTTCTTTATAATTCCGATCTCAGGTATAACCTTTGTTCCCCAGAGTAGTTTTAAGTTAGGTTAGGAGGTGTGCATCTGTTGGGGTAATACAATTTTGTGGAGTGCCCTAAAGGCCTACTCAGGGTGGAGTGAATAAGTTATTTTTTTTATAAAATTTTCTCAGTGCGTGATATAATTTTGTTGAGTGCCCTTAAGGCCTATTCATGGTGGAATTAATAATTTCTTATTTTTATACCACTTCCCATGATGGTGGATATTATTTTGTGAAAACCCTTAAGGCCTGTTTCATGTGTGCAAGCAACACTTCTTACTACTTTAAATTTATTGTTGCCTGAGTTTCTAATAATTTCAATATCATGTATAACTTTTATTCCCCAGAGTAGTGTTTTAAGTTCAGGTTAAGAGTCGCATATTGGTGTACCATTATTTGATTGTGTTTGTAGTGTTGGAGGAATAAGTGTCTAAATTTTACAGTGTGTCTCATTCATCCCAGTCAAGACGCTATCCATCCACGGGTCACGGACAATTTATTTTGTTTAGTAAATTTAAGTGTTCTTGTGCTGGTTCGGATTTTTCTCAAAGGGCGCTTCCATTGCAATTTCATCTAATAATCTTTAATAAACCCCAAGTCAAGTGAGAAATTAAAAGTCCAGTAATTCCCGACCGATTTACAAATATATATATATATATATATATATATATATATATATATATATATATATATATATATATATATATATATATATATATATATATATATATAAGATAAATCTTGATAAAATCACACAGGGAAAAGGGAAGCAACGGAGCACCTTAGCTTTCGTCTTTATTCAAGACATCTTCAGAGGCAATTGAATCACATGAACCGAAAGAGGCATAAGTACACAAAGCAACTTAAGAAAAAGGGCGACGTGACTAGTCAAGTTAAGTCAGGTAAAAAATATGGGACCCACTAATCATCTATCCTACATTTAACTCCAATGCTTTAAAAACATTTTTAAACTTGGGCCACTGACAAATAAATTTGTGTAACTGACCATCACTAAGGTCAGTACAAAACTGATATGTTACACAAATTACACTCGTGTTTTTCTTCTTGTATTTTTTGGTGGACTATGTTTCGTTAAATTGATCCTTTACTGTTAATTCTGTCGTGTTTGTTCACTATTTTCCATTCGTCGTTGTCGTCTTGGTTCTGTCACTACAAGTTTAGTTCACACTTCCTGCTATTAACTGACAATAAAGGAATACCAGGCAACTCTAGCCTTGTCTTCTGTAAAAGTGCAAAATTCTTACCAATGACAAGCTCAAACTACTGGTGTCATGGAAATTAAAAAATATATAAAAAAATAAATCGTTTCTACTATTATCCAAGAGTAATACAGTATATTATTCAGATAATGAATTTTACTTTTAGTTTCCTTGCATGACTAAGTCATTGGTGCTTGCAGCTGCTTTGCTCTTATATTGAATACTTTGTATCTAAATTTTATATCTAAACCTTTGGTTTTGTCTGTAGGTCAACTAGTGTCTTCGTAGCCATGTTAACTATTTCCCCAAACATCCTGTGCATTACATTCTCTCACTGTATATTACAATGTACTTACAGGCGCTAGATCGTGACCCACCGCTGGGGAGAGAGACATGGAGAGTGAAGGTACAGGTGAGAGATGGACAGCGAGTCTCACCCTCCTTGGCAGCTGTGTCGCGAGCCTCAAGGAGACCTAGAGTCACCCACGCTCAGCACCGCTACTCCCACCATGCTAAAGTGTCTCCAGAGGCTACGTATATTATGCCACAGGAGCCCAGTGTGCCAGTACAGGGTCATTACTTCTTGTCACGGTATCCCCAAGTGCCGGGAGAGAGTCAGCATTTTTTGTCACAAGAACCCAGTGGACTACAAGGTCAGTATTTTCTGTCTCAGGATCTTTTGATGTCAAATGATGACGGATTAGTGAAGAAGAGACGAGATAAAGAAATGAAAGAAGGAAGGCACGGAGCACAGGTACAGCAAAACACAAGAAGAAAAGAAAAACAGGAAAAATACACCAGTACCGAGGACAGAATGATAAATGAGGAAGATGTTATAAACCAGAGGTACAAGAGTGAAAGATCTGGGAAAACAGAAGGGACAAATTTCGCGTCAAAATTTGTAAAAAAGAAAGGAGAATTTATCCAGAAAAAGAGGAGAACTGCAGAGAGGAAGAGGAAGTTACGAGACAAGAATCACCGAAAGACGAAGGAGGAAACGTTAATGGATAAAAAACGGAAGATACAAGGAGGTCGACAATCCAGTGACGTTGTAACAAGGAGACTAGAATTGCACAACTTATCTTCCCGTCCAGGATATCGATCGGAATTTGGAGGTCGTAAAGTTCGCCAAAAGTTGATACCGTTGACCTGGGGCAGTGAAGAAAGGCAGACCAGCCTCCTTGGTGACCAACACTCTGGGCAGACGACCCATATCGTAAATACGTCACTTAAAGCTCGACCCTTGAGACTGAAATATCTCTCGCATAGAAAACATCAGCCAATTGGTGTTCAAAGAAAATTGCTGTCTGTCAGGGGCGTAATGAAATTAAAAGCCCCAAAACGAGATTTAGGAGGCAAAATAAATGTTGGAAGGAAAAAAACACCCAATGTTTATACAGCTGAACGTGCCCGTTATGCCAATGAAACTTTGTCCATTGCTAGACCTCATGAAGCTCCTAAGAATCGTGATATCGGCAAGTCATCACAAAAACGAAACCCCGGTGGTCAAGAAGGTTCTAATGAACCTCTCGAGAACAAACATAGTTACCACTTTTCTGGAGCAAATCCTTCAAGCACGACTGCTTCTAGAACTGAGCGTGACTTAGGGAGCACAGGGACGGAAGGAGGAGGGACAGACAGTAAGGAGAACAGAGGAGCTATTGATAAACGGGAGACGGGCCAGCTGTCAGGAAACCTACCTCATGAGCATCAGATGCCATTGAACTTTCTAGGCATGAACCAGCTGCTACAGGATCGACGCTACGTTAAGAGGTTCGGGGCAGAGGGGGGAGGCTGTGAGGACTATGGAGTGTTTAACATGGGCTGGGAGGAGACCGAGAAGAAAGAGCCGTCGTACATGAGGGAGATGAGGCGTGACCAAGTGCACGTAGCGGAGACGGTGGTGACGGTGGTGGTGAAAGACATCAACGACAACGCCCCCGTGTTCCCCAACGCCACCATCTACGGCGAGGTGCAGGAGAACGGCCCCATCGGTGAGTATTACAATACCTTCACAGGTGCAGGAGAACGGCCTCATCGGTGAGTATTACAATACCTTCACAGGTGGAGGAGAACGGCCTCGTCGGTGAGTATTACAATACCTTCACAGGTGCAGGAGAACGGCCTCATCGATGAGTATTACAATACCTTCACAGGTGCAGGAGAACGGCCTCATCGGTGAGTATTACAATACCTTCACAGGTGCAGGAGAACGGCCCCATCGGTGAGTATTACAATACCTTCACAGGTGGAGGAGAACGGCCTCATCGGTGAGTATTACAATACCTTCACAGGTGGAGGAGAACGGCCTCATCGGTGAGTATTACAATACCTTCACAGGTGCAGGAGAAACGGCCTCATCGGTAGGTATTACAATACCTTCACAGGTGCAGGAGAACAGCCTCATGGTGGTGGCCACGGCCTGCTTCACGGGGGTGCAGAGAGGAGCAGCCCCCCATCGGTGGTATTACAATACCTTCACAGGTGCAGAGGAGCAGCCCCCATCGATAAGTATTACAATACCTTCACAGGTGCAGGAGAATGGCCTCGTCGGTGAGTATTACAATACCTTCACAGGTGCAGGAGAACGGCTCATCGGTGAGCCTGGCTACAACCCTTCCCACAGGTGCAGGAGAACAGCCCCATCGGTGGAATTATTCATACATGTGGTTCATAGGCCTTGAACAATGCCTTTATCTTTTATTTATTGGATATACGCCTCGCCGCACCACTTATATATATATATATATATACCATATATATATATACTTTTCATGTAGCTATTTTATTAATTTCTTAAATATTTCGGGAACAGTTTTTAAATCAAAACTGGGGGCACTACCCCTCCATAAAAGGACATACAACCATAAGGCAATATATATATATATATATATATATATATATATATATATATATATATATATATATATATATATATATATATATAAATAACGCGAATTTGAATATAACAAAAGGGAACTAACTGGGTTTTTTAAAGGTATTATTGAATTAATAAATTAACTTCATGGGAGATCGGCGAGAGTGAACACCGTAACGCAAAACTAGTGGGGTTTAGGTTAGGTTACCATTATGGTGTTTAATCATCAGGTGAAATAAGCGGGGCCTCTTCACGAGATCGTAATTATAAATATATTTCTTCTGTTTTTTTTAGAGCTCTAATTATTGTAGAGCCTTGAACTGTAGCCCCATTATGCGGTTCAGTTCTGGTGCCCCTATTATAGAATGGATATAAATTCACTAGAGTCGGTGCAGCGAAGAATGACAAAAATGATTCCTGGACTTAGAAACCTTCCATATCAGGATAGGTTAAAGAAACTTAACTTGCATTCCCTAGAAAGACGAAGAGTGCGGGGAGATATGATAGAAGTATTTAAGTGGGTGAAAGGAATCAATAAAGGGGATATAGATAAAGTTCTTATAATATCCGAGCAGGATAGGACTCGGAGCAACGGATTCAAGTTGGATAAGTTTAGGTTTAGGAGGGAGATAGGAAGAAACTGGTTCACAAATAGGGTGGTGGACGAGTGGAACAAGCTTAGCAACTTTGTAGTAAGTGCGGGAACTCTGGAAAGTTTCAAAATGAGGCTAGATAGATTCATGGATGATAGAGAGTGGTAGTAACTCTCGACAGGAGCTGCCATGCGCAGGCCAACCGGCCTATTGCAGACTCCTTATTTTCTTATGTTCTTATTAGCACGTGTCTTATTTCCGTTTACCCATAAACAATTCCAATACAGTATAATAAATTATAAATACAAATTTATATTGAGTAAAACCCAGCTGCCTCTTGGCAAGTTAAAAAAAAGAGATTTTACAGGAACAGGGACTTGATCAAAATAGTCAAATGTGTTTAGTCCAACCTTACAAGGAAGAGTTTCTTTGGCTCTGTGTTGTTGCTAGAACCAATGATTTATAACCTTGAACCTCTATCACCATCTAGTAATTAATTTAATGGAACCCCATTTATTGCTCGATTGATCATTAATTAAAAAAATAATTGTCAACCCGCAATTAAACTAATGACGGTCCCTCTTCATTTATGTTCAGATGACTATCAAATTAAAAGTCTTTCTTCAATTCATAATTAATTCTCTACTCACAAGAGTGTTGATGAAGAAAGACTCGTGGCAATCGGAGTGGCGTGACAGATAAAACATAATTTTTCGCATGACGCATTTATCACAATTCACAAAAATAAATTTTGAATATTGTTTGGTCTCTATGCCACCTCTTTCAAACTTGCTTTAAATTTCCCAACGGAATTGTATTAATGTGATTTTTGGTAATTTTATCCAATATATGCAACAATATTTTCTAACCAAGGCTTCCATATTTCCTTCCTTAATCTAAGTTTTGATGGATCTTGTACATTATTTATATCGCCTCTGTTTAAGTCTATCGCCCATGTATATAGTTTGATCATACTGCCCTTCACTCTACAGTATGGTTCGCAAGTGAAAACAAATTTATTTGCCTTTGTCATCCTTCAAGAGAAAGTATAATTATGGTACGGTGACTAAACTGTACAGCTAAATCCAGTTTTATACGTTAAATAAAGTTTTATAGTAAAGTTTGTGTTTGCTGTTTTAGTGTTATCTTGATTTACCTTGTTGAGCTGACAGTTCTCTGCCTTTACCAAAGTTGGTCATACAAGCAGCAGATACTGAACAGGAACCCCTACATTATAAACATTCCCAATACACCATACCCACCCCTTCTATACAAAAACTATCATCAACAGTAACACTCCTACATCTGCACCTGGGCGACCTGAGAACAATCCAGGTACACCACATCAAGCCGCTCTGGGTTCAGATATTCTCCTCTCACCACGCCACTCAAACTCTGATGGTGCAAAAGCAATATCGTAGCCGATGAGATTTATCCGATGTTACGAATGTCGGAATAAGAACCAATGAATAGATTACTGGTCGGCATATGAACTTCGACTGATTCGTTGTGTACACACTGAAGCAGTTAGAATTTAGAAATTATACGTTATATTTAAAATGTAGTAACATTAGTTTCACTGTTTTAGGTAAAACAAAGTAATGTTTACTGTATTAGTCTCGAATACTAATGAATGAGTGAGCGTTTGATAGCTATCTGTGGATTCGCAACTTGAACGTTTTTGTTTGACGTCATTTCCGCCCACCTCTACTCACTTAGTTTTGCCTCTCAGAACCGGGTGGCTTTAGTATTGGGCTGGCAGTCGTAAGATAAGTATCTCCTCTCCTATTGTGTATTTCTAGTGGTATACCGTGTTAACCTTGCTCGACTTTTAAGGACACCAAGTATTATATAGTGATTTATATGTGAGACTGTTGGTAGTCACATTTTAGAATTCAACGGTAAATAACTTAGTTGTTTATGAGTTGCGTGTGTTGGATAACCACGTTGTTCATTATAGTGTCTAGACTAAATAAGTGTTTAGTCTATACTTTGATGTTCATTGTTTTGTCACTCGGTTGAGTCGTTTATTTGTTCAGATTTCATTTGTATTTGTTTATTTTTGTACATACTGATGTACTTGCTTTATTGTTTGTTTGTTAATATATTCTGTAATTAAAACTACTGCATGTATTTCAATATACCCCATAGTAATGAGGTGATGATTTTGGCGGGATCAGTTTCTTGGACCTGTAATAAGAAGAGAAGTTGAACTTGTGATTTTGTTACACCCTAAGAGGCCAAGGATCGTAACACCGAGTTCGATTCTTTCTAAGCAAATCAAAGAACTATTCCCTACGTTCTTCTTAAAAAACTATGACGATACCCTCATTCCTCCATACACCAAATGATCTGACATTTTAAGAGGAGATATTCAAAACTCTTCCTCTCTAAATACCTCCGTTCCATCTTTGTCATATGCTGATAAACATTACCTTCACCCGTCACCAAACGTCTCTATTACCTTGAAAGAGTGCTAACCTCTATCTCTAGAGAAGATAAGGTTGTGGTCCTAGGTGACTTCAGTGCCAGAGTTGGCAGAGATGCTGACATTTGGCAGGGACCCATAGGGAGAAATGGACTAGGCTATTGTAATCAGGGTTGCCAGATGGCCGTTTCCGCGGCCAAATTTCTCTAATTAGGCCGTAAAAACTTCGCTTGGCCGTGGAAAAATGGATGGTCACGGCCAAACATTTTGGCCGAATTTTGTAAAACACGTATTAATTCCTCATCTAGTGGGTTTTGAAGAAAAGTCTAGCAGATTTCACAATGAAAATGCTGGCTCAGTGACCTCACCTTGTCATGACCTCACCTAATCAGTTTACGTGACCTACTGAGCTGACTGATCTTTCTAGTTACTACCTTAGATGTTAGTTCTCATATTTGAGTTGTTCAGGCTGAACGTGTCCAGCATATGGGTTAAGCTTCAGAGCTTACAAAGCCATCTGAGTTACTTTCTGAAATTCCGAATAGGGGATACTTTTATTTTGTGTGGATTGTAAAAATAGCCTTGTGCTTCCCATCCAAAAAAGGTTTGGCCGTGAGATGGCGTGAAGTTGGCCGTGAAGCTTGTCGTACATCTGGCAACCCTGATTGTAATCCCAACGGCCTACTCCTCAGCAAGTGTGCTGCACTCCACCTCTCTATCAACAATGCCCTGTTTAGGCAGGCTAACAAGTTCAAGGGTTCGTGGCAACACCCACGATCCAAAGTAAAGTCTTAAAACAAACTTGAAAAAGTGCCAAATCGGCCCCCTCACCTGGGAGGTGATCACTCCACACCGTAACGCTTGGAGGAGCACCACACGAAAAGGTCTCAATACTTTCGAGTTAGCCCGACTGTATACCGAGGCACACAATCGCCAACACCGGAAAGACGCTGCCGCCGCCCCTCCCACACTAGATGTAGCCTTCCACACGTGCAGCCTCTGTGGACGACCCTGTTGGTCCCGTATCGGCTTCTCTAGTCATCTCAGAGCTCACCACCGACGGTGACATCCTTATTAACTCATATCATTTTATCA